CTAACCTTAAAAAGAACCTTGACTTTTCTCTAACCTTGACAACCTGCATGATCACTTAATGACTGGGTAAGCTTTGATTTGGGTATGGCCATTACTATTTTCTTTTCTGAGGTCCTGAAAGCTGCGTAAATCCGCGATCTTTATTCAAAACACAGCTGAAAGCGCATTGATCGTCATATGTTTGCCAAAATCGAGAGAAAAAAAATTATCCAGGTATTTATAACCAGCAAGGTTTTTATGTCTCACCACCTCATGATTTTCCTACTCGGTGTCTCTTAAACACTTGTAAGTCCTTACCACTGCCCCCTCCCCTTTCTCTTTCCCAAAACTATTATGTCCAGAAATTCCCGGATGTTTACAGGTATCGATCAGCCGAGTGAGCGAGCGAACAAGCGAGTGTTCTGTACTTACCTTATAGACTCGTATTCACGAGTTTACAACGGTAAACAATTCCGGAACAAATTACACGAAAATTGCTGGTGGCGCACGCGTGAGACCATATAGACCTCATACCTAATAAACAAGAAGGAAATTTTTTCAGATATTTCTATAGAAGACAAATATTGTATTTCTTCTCTAGTTTTTTGAAACGTTAAGGGTAAACAAATACAAATCTTCCGATGCAGAACTGAAAGCCGAGACAATGTGTCCCCCTGAGAATAGACCAGAGCAGTTTATTATCTCGGTCAAAGGGCCCAAAAGGACAGGAAGGTGGTCCTTGATTACGCAAGCGCTCACTTTACCGGTCTGGGGCTGGGTTGTTCAAAGCCCGATTAAGCTTTAACGAGAATTTTGATTTCAGTTTTGTACCTTTTTTCGATGAGGTTTTCTGTTTATATTGTTTGTCCTTCAGTTTTAAATTTGAACAATATCAAACTACACAAAACATGAGCAGTGAAAAACACTTTTGTACAGTAATACATCGATTCACTTTTAATCCTGGGTTAGCCTTAACCAGCTTTCGAACAACCCAGCCCAGGTGATTTGTTCAGAGGCAAAGATGCTGCTTGTCACAGTCCTTAAATTAAAAGGCTCATCAGGAGTTAGGTTGATAGCAGAGGCGCACGAGCGGAACTCCATACCTTAGAAAATTTGGTAACCCATCGATCTGAAAAATTTTGGTTGTCGCGTAACTGTCCGTAAGTACGTCCGTACGTACGTACGTCAATAAATTGAAAAATAAGACAGTAACACCATTACCATAGCTATATCTTTTATTTTGGGTATCCATGTTTTTGTTGACGGCTGTCAAAACAAGATATCCGCTAACCAGTATCACGTGACCATATCGCAGGCCCAGGTTTAGAGCTCGTCGTGGTTGCGTGTTTTTTTTTGGAAGATGACCGCTGACCAGGGAATGTTTTTTTTTTATTTTTCGATTGGATCGCGGGCTCATGCCAGGTTGTTACTTTGAGGGAGAAGCAGGGAGTGCGTGCAAAGGCAAAATGTCGGCGCGAATTTACCCTGGCGTGTTTTTTACTTTCCTTCCGACATATTCCCTGCCCAATCGTCTCGTCAGTTAAACTTTAACTGGAAAACATAGCGAAACCACATGCTCAACAATTACATGCTCACAATTGGTCATTTTTTGAGTTTCCGATCCAAGAAAAACAATCCTCTCTCTTTCTTTCTTTATGGTTAGTTATTGCAATCAGGAGCTCCGCTTTTAGGCTTGGCTAAATCCATATATCATCAACTTCCAGTGAAGGTTCTCGAAGTGTTATGTTGTTTTTATCTGCCAAGTGCAGGGAGGCGTCAGCAGCTTTTCTACTGACATTTGAAAAAAACTGATTAAATTTATTGGCTGTCAAATCGTTTGCATAGGTTTGATTCTGCTTCTCTTTGGAAGCTATAGCCCGATTGATAATCTTCCATAGGGAGCGAGAATTGTTCTTGAGAAGTCTAACCTCATCATAAGTGCGTTTCCTTTCAGCTTCCCGTAGCATTTTCTTTACTAAGTTGCGCGTTTCCTTGAAATTATGCCCGGTCGGTGATGTCACGTGTCTGAAGAAATCGTTTTAGATGGCGATCTCTATACTTCATGAGGTCCTTAATTTCTTGATTTACAAAAGGACAGGGTCTGCTCCGTGTTTTGATAGATTTTATGGAACGTGCAAATCCAGGAAGATAGTTAGCAAGCGATTGGCCTTGTTAGCTAAGTCTACTGTGAAAAGCTCCGCGCTATAATTTTTATAGCTTCGTGTGTTTTTATATTGAGGGATAGGTTTTGGCGACTTTACCTTTTTTAGAAAGTAGTAATTTAGGTCGCCCAAAATTATAATCGACTTGCTTAATATCAGGGCTCGGATAAAATTGGGTTTGAGAACCTCTTCAAAGGGGCTCAGGGGTGCATCGTGTGGACGATATGTCACGCAGTTGACTATCAACTTGAGCTTCTTGAACTGGACGCCTAACTATAGCTGGTGAAAGTTTTAAGATCGACTATTAACTTGATTGCGTATTATGAGAAAAAGACGTTCTTCTGTCACCAGTTTTCGGGAAAAAGATTGTTTCCTTTGGCCACTTGTGCCTCAACTGGAGTTGAGAACGTCGTGGACTGGGTACAAAACGAAAATATAGCCAGTATACAACTCTCCTACCCCTCCCCCGTAGATGTCTCAGGAACGCGGTTACCAAGGCAAGTTCACAGAAAACAAAACATGGCGGACGAAACGAAGGCGGTGAAATCGTCTGAAATGTCGCCTACGGTTATGAAACATGTGTCGTCTAGACCTGGATCGATCTCTCCAGCGCTTACTCATTTTTCTGGAGCTTTGATGGAGCTGGATGAATACAGGTAAGGAAGGATAGGTCTTTGTTTTCGTTAGAGGGAGCGACTTCTGATCTCCGGTAAGTGATCAGCGTTGAAAAAACTTTTTGGCAGCTGCTTTTTAATTGAATAATTAAATTAGCCTGAATTCACTTCAGTGTTTTCATCATGAATTCGTTCTTTTCATTAGTCTATTGATACAGCATTTTGCGTAAAATGTAAATTCGACACAAATATGTGAGGTTTGCTAGAATGGAACTTAAGAGTTTGTATGTCCTTTTTTTTTTATGTTGTTGTTCGCAAATAACGTTCTCGTACGGTACAACTTGAATTAGTAACACTGCCTATTAATGTTTAATTGCGTCATTAATTGTTGTCGTGTGGATCTCCTTCAAAGGCCTCATATAGCTAATCACGGACAACCAGTGACTTTTTTCTAAAATATTTTTTTCTTTGAGCTATAAGCTTATATGTACCTTTACACAGGCGGCCCAAGCTCTGGATGCGAGGAGTTATTATTATTATTTTTTTAATCTTTATGAGAACGTTCAGCACGTGAAACGTGACATATTTACCGCCGACATCTACTATTACATAACCAACGAGTTTGGTTACGCAAAATGTGACCTTCACATTTGGTGGTGTTGTGTTGCTTATGGTGGTGTTGTGTTACGATTTCAATTTATAAAGGTTTGTATGGGGAAAAACGGCGATCGACATTATAGCAAAAATTTTGATATTTTTGCAATAAAAATGACTTACCTCAATGCCTTGTCGTCTTTTCTATTGTCATCTCGCTTCTCAGCTTGATCCGAAGCCTTTTAAGCGAGATATTCAACTCACTTAAAAGGCTTTCAGCTATAATGTTGATTACCCTTTTTCCCCATAGAGACCTTTATAAATTCAAACAGTTGTCACACAACACCACCATATGCTGCAAGGTGAAGGTCATGTTTCGTGTAACCAAATCGGTGGTTATGGAATAGTAGATGTCGGCAGTAAATAAATTATGTCACGTTTCATGCGCTGAACGTTTGCATAAAGATTAAAAAAATAATAATAATAACTCCTCGCATCGTGAGCTTGGGCAGCCTGTGACCTTAATGGTTTTTGAATTTGAGACCGTTGATGGAAATTACAAAATTCATCCAAACCGTACCGTGGAGGGTTTTGAAATGTAGGAATTTTGTATCATGTTTCAGATGCAAACCCCTACATTTTAGAATGTGGCAAAGATCAGATGTTCCATAACACATTGTATGCACCTGTAGTGAGAAGTTGACACCATCTTATGTCTGATTTTATACAGTACATATACACAAGTATGATGAAAGCACTAATTAAGCCTGCACGTGCATTAACTGCTGGGATAAACCAAAAACTGTCTGTGGGTAAACCAGGGTGACAAAAGCACAACACAAAAAAATCACTGCATAATCCCTGTTGTAAATCCAGGATAACAAAAGGCCAAGTAATCCTCTATCAGTCTCTAAGACTGGTTTGCAGAGATCGGTGTCACTAATTTGCAAGCCAGCAAGACATGCAAGCCAGGTGACTCAATAACTCTTAAACCCAATAAAAAGGCTAACCAAAAGCTAACTAAGCTAAGTTATACGAACCAGAGTGCTAATTAAAATAAACAGAATGCTAGTTAGGCTCAAAAAAGTGTTATTTAGGGCAAACAGCAAGCAAGCCATGTGAACCACAGTAATCCCTACAGTGTATGACATTTGCAGGCAGCAGAATACACCTAGGTCTGAAAAGCCCTCATGTTAGGCTGTTCGTGGCAGCATAGCTCTTGGTAACGGAAATGGGAATGCAATAAGCTAGTTTACCAGCTAGCTGCTTACTTGCAGTCCAGGACAAAACGTGCTACATGAAGATACCGCTCAATCATTGCCACCCTCGGGGAAATGAATAGTGGCTGTTAAAGGGGGCTGACGGCTTAATTGAGGTAAAAACAGTAGAAAAGCCCTCATCAGGACTTAGTGANCCTACAGTGTATGACATTTGCAGGCAGCAGAATACACTTAGGTCTGAAAAGCCCTCATGTTAGGCTGTTCATGGCAGCATAGCTCTTTGTAACGGAAATGGGAATGCAATAAGCTAGTTTACCAGCTAGCTACTTACTTGCAGTCCGGGACAAAACGTACTACATGAAGATACCGCTCAATCATTGCCACCCTCGGGGAAATGAATAGTGGCTGTTAAAGGGGGCTGAAGGCTTAATTGAGGTAAAAACAGTAGAAAAGCCCTCATCAGGACTTAGTGATAACTGGCCACGTAATAGGGGTGGTCGTTTAATAGATGGCCGCATAAAAGGGGCTTGACTGTAGCACTTATTCCCCTGGCTACATGACCCTCTAAAGCAATTTTATTTTCTTGCAGACCATCTATTGCTGACCAAGTTCGTGTTGGCTACTTCAGTCAAGACAGATCATCACAAACCGAAGTATCAGAGATAGCACAACTTAAAGAGATGACAGAGGTCTTACAAAATCTTGTCAGGGTAAGTGCAAATCACCAGACTTCTCAACAAGTTTATAGGACAAAGAAATGCAGAGAGTTTTAGAAAAGGAGCAAAACAAACGAGTTAGATCGAACTGTAAGATTTACATGTATGGCCAGCCAGCTAGAAATTAAGACAAAATCCGATAGAAAATCGAGCAATTTCAGGCTTTAGTGGACAAAAATCTGGTACCAGACTAATTTTAAGTATTTTACAGTCATTTT